TGGATTACTGTGATGTTGAAAGGTCTGCTTTGGATTCGTATTGAAATCATTCTGTCATTTTTGAGATTGTATCCCAATACAGCTTTTTCTACTCTTTCGTTGACTATGAGGGCTACTCCATTTCTTCTACGGGATTCTTGCCCACAATAGTAGATGTGATAATTGTCTGAATTGAATTCACCCATTCCCGTCTATTTTACTTCACTGACACCCAGGATGTCAATGTTTATTCTTGCCATCTCCTGTTTGACTACATCCAGCTTACCAAGGTTCACAGATTTTACATTCCAGGTTCCTATGCAGTATTTTTCTTTGCAGCATCATACTTTCCCTTCTAGATACGTCCACAGCTGAGCATCCTTTTGGCTTTGGCTCAACTACTTCATTAGCTTCATTAGCTCTGAGCTACTTGTACTTGTCCTCCGCTCTTCCTCAGTAACATGTTGGATACCTTCTGACCTGAAGGGCTCATCTTCCAGCGTAATATGTTTTAGCCATTTGTTTCTGCCCATGGAGTTTTCTTGGCAAAGATACTGGAGTGGCTTGCCAGTTCCTACTCCATGTGGATCGCATTTAGTCATAACTCTCCACTATGACCTGTCTGTCTTGGGTGTCCCTGCACGGCATAGCCCATAGTTTCTCTGAAGAAATCAAGCCCCTTTGCCACGACAAGGCAGCAATCCGTGAAGGAGGAGAAAGTCCATAGGTGTCCAGAAACATCTACAATGCCCAAATAAGTTAAAACCCAATGTGTCTTGTTGAAGTAGTAGTAAATCTGCTCACTATGTATTCAAGGATGTATTCGAGGTGGACAGATGTACCTCTGGTCCAGTGAGCCGAATGGAGGAGGAGAAGGGAAGGCTTATTATATGCAGAATCTCTTTGTCTTTCATTCTATGCTCCCTGCATCTTATCCTATCTATATTATTAAATAAACAACTAAATTCTTTCTAAATTTATCCTTCCCCTTTTTTGTAGTCTTGAGGTTTTCCAGAAGCTGGATCGTAGTGCAATAACCAACTCTCAGAATATGACTGCAGTCAAAGAAGCCTTGGAGGGTCTGCAGAAATTAATGGCAGCAGTCAGTGAAATCCTTTCAGGAATTCGGCAGTAAGTATATTTGAAATAAATGTAGTACAGTGGTGCCCCGCTTGATGACAATAATCCATTCCAGCAAAATCGCTGTAGAGTGAAATCGTCGTCAAGCAAAAAAAAAATCCCATTGAAATGCATTGAAAACCGGTCAGTGCATTCCAGTGGGCTGAAAACTCACCGTCCAGCGACGATCCTCCATAAAGTAAAGCAAGGAATCCGTCCTAGAAAACAGCGGGGGGCCATTTTGTACACCCGGTGGCCATTTTGAAACCCGACGATCAGCTGTTTTAGATCATCATAATGCGAAAATTGGTTCCCGAGGCAGGGAACCGATCATCGTGAAGCGGATTTTTCCCATTTAAACGATCGCAAAAACCTAATAGTCAATCGATTTCCTCGTTAAGCAAGGCAATCGTTAAGCGAGGCACCACTGTATCTCTGGGGTTCTTACTTCCACCTGTGTTTTAAGCGATTGCAAAAACCTAATCGTCAAGCGATTTCCTCGTTAAGCGAGGCAATCTTTAAGCGAGGCACCACTGTATCTCAGTGGGGTTCCTACTTCCACCTGTGTTTTAAAAACCAATGTTGTTTCTAGTGTATGTTGGTAGGAATTTTCATACTTTCCAGTAGTTAAAAGTTGTTTGGGGAAATACCTAAACATTAAAAAAAATATCTTAAAGCAGTTATCTATTATGTTGCCAGTGGTGTTTACAGTATTTGGGTCTAGAAAGATTTCTACCTGAAGTAGATTCAGCTAGTCTGAGTTAAAATGAAAACCTTGGTTAGTACTGATTGTTCTTGTTGTTTAGTTGTTAAGTCATGTCCGACTCTTGGCAACCCCCGTGGACCAGAGCACGCTAGGCCCTCCTGTCTTCCACTGCCTCCTGGAGTTTGCTCAAATTCATGTTGGTAGCTTCGATGACAATTGGTAGCTTTGATGACATCAGTTAATTGGAATCAGTTAGTACTGATACTAACATAAATTAGCAGTGTCTGGGATTTGAGGGGAGGAGTGAAGCCGTAGTTAAATAGCCTGACAGTGTTTCATATACACTCTCCTTAGTAGTCTTGACATGGCTAATTCCTGATACTCAGAATCATGAATTGGCTCATGTAGAATGTAAGGGATGGGGCACATTCCAGCCATTTTTTAACTGCAGCTCCTGTTATATTTGATCACTGACTATGTTTTCTAGGACTGAAGGCCACACATTCCCCTCCTTAAACTATTGCTGATACTAAGTAGGATTAGCTATGAGGTTTGCTCCAGACCTTTATATATTAGAAGAGAGTTTTTGTTGTTTTTTTGTTTTATTTTGTCTTTCAAAATATGTTACAACCATGAATGCTGTTACTTTAACTGAAGGCAATATTTTCTTTATTCTAACAGTTTATAGAATAGTGTACATTCATTTCTATGTACATCTCAAATACAGACTTCTTTTGTTTATACAGTGGGAATCTCTTTCATAGTAATCTATTAAAGCAGTGATGTGAACTCCTTGCTTTATCTAGACAGCCAAGTTTAATGTTGATCTCTCTCTCTCTCTCTCTCTCTCTCTCTCTCTCTCTCTGTTTTCCCCAAGAGTTTTAGTGCCAAACAGTAGCTTTCACAATGTTTGGGCCCTCTATACATTCTTGACACGCAGTGAGGTGAGTTAATGTATCCACTGAAGTATATACACAGTTAGGGTAAGCACTGCACTAACTTTGCTAACTTGTAGAACAGGACAGGAAATGGGTTGTTCTCCAGATGTTGTTAGATTTCAACTACCACCCTCCCTTAACAATTGGCAGACTGACTGGGTCGTATGGGAGTTGAGCCCCAATAATAACTGAAAGGCCAAAGATTCTGTTCTCTTGCTTTAAACTGTGGACATATTTACTCTACAGACTTAAATTGGTATAGTGGTCATTCCCTCTTCCCATAGAATTTTGGAAAGTGTAGTTTTTAGAAAGGACAAAGGATCCCTTACAGAGATTTTTTTAAATTGTAAAAACTTATAAACTACATATTTTAAAATGTATCTGAAAAAACTGGAACTCCTTAAAGACTTCAAACTACATGTTTTTTAAAGTCCACAGTTTGAGGATGCTGATGTCTACAGAATTAAAATTAGCATCCCTTAACACTATGTCAAGGTTTAAAAATATTTAGTTTGTATGTATTTAAATTATGTCATTTTTTAAAAAGTCTAGACATCAATCTATTTCATTAGCAAGTGTTTGCATGCCCTAAATCTTGTAAATTGTTTTTCAAATGCACTTAGTAACAGTTATCTTTTGATAACAATAAAAAAATCATACTTTGATGAACAACTAACTTAAATGGCATAGAGATTGATTGATTGATTGATTGATTTGATTTGATTTGATTTGATTTATATCCCGCCCATCTGGTCTGGTCGACCACTCTGGGCGGCTTCCAAAAAGGTATATACAATAAAACATACATCCAAACATATACAATAATAAAACAAGTATTGAATAAAGGAAAGAAAAAGAAAATAAAGAAAAATTTAAAAAAATTAGATATTGACAGGAGGGAAGGCCTGAATGAATAACCATGTTTTTAGTTGGGTCTTAAAGTGCCCAGCAATACTCTGGGCGGCTCACAAATTAGAAAATAAAAACAGTTTAAAATATACAGTTTTACATTAAAAAACAAAATGATATAAAATATATGAATTTACGATTTTAACAGTTAATTTAAAGCAAAGAGTCCCAAGATGGCAAGAAGAAAAGAAGAAAAATAAGAATGACTTAATTGACTGAAAGGAAGGCCTGCTTGAATAGCCAATTTCAGCTGGCTTTTGAAAATGCCCAGCGAGGGTGCCAGCCGAATTTCAGTGGGGAGGGTGTTCCACAGCCGAGGGGCCACCGCCGAGAAGGCCCGATTTCTTGTTTTTTCCTTCCGGGCCTCCCTCGGCGTCAGACCCCTCAGCCGTCCCTGCTGGCTGTGTCGGGTGATTCGGGTAGTTCTGGGTGGGAGAAGATGATCTGCCAGGTATTGAGGTCCCAAACCGTTTAGGGCTTTATATGTAATCATTAACACTTTGAAGTCAACTATACAAAAATCGGTAAGTAAAACAGCTTACAGGTCATCGCAAAGCGATGTTTTACCATTTAAAACATCGCAATGCAATCGCTTTTGCGATTGTAAAAACTTAATCGCTATGTGGATTTGTCGTTAAATAGGATGCCCGTTATGCGGGGCACCACTGTACTGTTTTGCCCTCTGGTCTGGGAGCTAACTAGCTCTAGACTTAGATTTAGCTTAAGGTTCTACATGTTATATATTACTTCAATAATGTTAATAATAATGATGATGAATATACACATACACTTATATACGACATTGATATCTAACAGATACTTATGTTTTGGGTTAAAACTTATATCTGTTATATAATATTTATTTATTTATTTATTTATTTATTTATTTCATTTATATCCCGCCTATCTAGTCAATTATGACCACTCTAGGCGGCTTACAACATACACTTAAAAAAATTAAACATATAACATACCACATCACAAAAAATAGTTTACATAAATTAAAAGATAGAATAAAATTTTTCCCAAAGATGGCGAGAAACAGGATATATTATAACAGAAAAAAAAGAATAATTAGGTATTAGGTGGGAAGGGGGAAGGCCTGCCTGAACATCCATGTTTTCAGTTGTTTCTTAAAAATACCCAGCGAGGGAGCTGCGCGAATGTCAGGAGGTAAGTTGTTCCAATACCAGTCAGTGTTTTTATAATTCTGATTAAATGTGCCTGGTGTGTTTAATAATAATAATAATAATAATAATAATAATAATACTATCTGGAACAGTCCTTGATTCTTTTACTGCAATAAATAATTTGCAGTAGGAAATACCAGTATTTGGGAATTAATGGTCATCCTTTGTGTTTCACTGAGTAGTTTTTTCCCCCTCCATAGATATATAACATAACATTCACTGCTGAGGAGCTTTATGACTGCATTTCCCAGGAGATATACAGGTAAGTCCTTCTTAATTTTTTAAAACTATTTGTATGTACAGTGGACTCTCGACTTACAGAATTAATCCATATTGGAATGGTGGCCGCAGATCGAAAAGCCTGTAGGTCGAGGGTCCATTTTCCACAGGAATGCATTGAAAACTTGTTAATCTGTAACTGGCCGAAGAAAAAATACCCCCCCACCAAAAAAAGAGAAAAGAAATGCAAAAAGCAGCACCTTACCGATCCAAAGGGGTCCCTCACCACTGCCATCACCACTGCCGAATCCCTACAAGGGCTTCTCTGCTGCCATGGGAGGCCTCTCGGAGGTCGTCCGCCGCCACCAGCTTTCCCAGGGTACACCGGGCCTACGAGGGGAGGGCTTACCTCAGTAGGCCCAGTCTACTTCCTGGGAAAGCCTGGTAGATTTTCCCACCAATCGTGCTTCGGAGGCATGATCAGCAGCGAGGGGAACCTCCGGAGGCCTTTCAGGGCTTCTCCGCTGCCATGGGAGGCATCTTAGAGATTCCCCCCTCGCCACCGATTGTGCCTCTGAAGCATGATCGGCGGGGGGGAGGTCCTCCGAGATGCCTCCAATGGCGGTGGAGAAGCCCTGGAAGGCATCCAGAGGCACGATAGGTGGTCTACAGACCAGAAGGGGGAGGCGGAGAATGTGCCAAATTCAAATTTGCCCCTTTCCCCACCTCCCCCTTCTTGTCCGTAGGTCGATTCTCCGGCCACAAGTCGAAGTAAAATTTTGCGGCTGGAGAAGTCTGTAACTCAAAAAGTCCGTTAAGACTGTGTTAAGTCGAGGGTCCACTGTATGTTGCTATTACTGGGCAGCCTATTTTTTTTACTTGCCTCTATTGTGGTGAAAACATTATTCATATGGCAGCATCCTCCGCATCTTTCAGAGTTGAGTGATTTTGGCTTCAAAAAGGTGATACAGAGATCTCTTGACAGGTGTGTTATTTGTATGAGTATATCACCATGAACTGTAAGTGTTAAAGACCTTTGTCAAGATTTTTATGCTACAGTCCTAAGTAGGTGGGAGTGCTTTGCTTTGCAGAAAGAAGCCTTGCTCCTTAGTTCTAAATATACTGTTGCTTAGTGCTAAGGAAACGGAACTTTGTTCTATACATATATATTTTTTGTAGGTTATATGCTGTCCTATCTAGCAGTGATGGTGCAAAATGGAAATGGTGATGGTGGGAATAGAACTGTAAGGCCATGTGCAGAAGTCTCTGCCAATGTCCCTGTATCGTATTTCACTACTTTCTCAGTACTACAGCAGCAAATTAGAACTGAAGACCAGTAAAACTTGTCTACTCATGAAGCTAAAGTCAAAGCACAGAAAAGTGGTTTTAGCTCTGGATAAGGCTGCCAGGGAAGAGGTCATACAGCCCAGTCCACTCTTAAAAGAGAGTTACAGACACCACCAATTTCAGAAGCTTGTAGGACATGAAAGAGAACTTGTCTTGAAGATCTCAATATCAAGATAGGTACTCTTTAAAAAAAGATGGTTCTTCAGATCACCTGGCCCTAAGTCAACTGTAAAGGTCATAATTAACATTTGAATTGAGGCCCAAGATGAACCTGGATACAACAAAGAGGATTGCATTCATTTGCAAAAAAGGTAAATAAAGGCAATAGTGGCATGCTTTGGGACAGTTTTTGCTAAGTAGAACTTTTCATGTTCTGATTTCTCCTAGGAATCGGTTATTGGTTGGATACAACCAGCTAGCCCAGCTGGAACACACAATAAAACAGCAGTATGAATCTGTGTGCTTTGAAATCAAGAGCAGGGGATGGCTCTAGTTCTGCAGTCAACTGAACCTTCTGAAGAGAGGGTGGAATTTTTCAGCAGGTACAAGAATCCTGCGGTCCAGCAGAAGAGAAATCAACAGCGTGCTGGAGCCTAGGTGTCTGTAACAGCATTCCTTTTCCTCTTGGCAGCCATAGCTGAAAGCCAAATGGTCATTATGTTAAAATACATAGTTTGGCCTTGGATGTTTGTGTGGCTATGTGTAAAGGGCAGCTGCTTGGGAGGAGGGCAGTTCACCACTGGGAAAGGAAGCATTAAAAAAAAATATCCCCAAAGCTGTTGGGGAGCTTCCTCCAAATGAAAGTAACAGTTCTAGGTGGAACCCTGGAGTGAAACCCCCTCCCCTGATTATGATTCTCCCTTTTCTCTTGCTCCTGTTTAAATAAAAAGCAAACAAACATGCAGGGTTAAAGCTATGCACTGAACATCATGTGCACTTTTCTTCCTGCACAGTAAGAGTAGCAGAAATTTAGCATGACAATGCTGATGGTTACTGCTTGCTAATTTCCTAATAACACTTGTGTTGTTGCCTACCATTCAGAAAATCCCCCTTGATAATGTCCCTCTATTGATGAGGCAAGGAAGAACTCAATTTGCAGTGGTGAGAAGGTCTTGATAGATAATATCACTACGTCTGTTTTGCATCCCCTCTGAAAACGCAAAGCACAGCTATACTGTGGAGGGGGAAGAAAAAGAAAGCTCATGGGATTTTCAGGAGATGTGGTTAGTCCCATTGTAGATGCAATGTCTTGAAGGGAAATGTGAGCTTTCTTTAATGATGGGGCTACTTGGGAAAGGAACAGTGGAAAATACAGCAACTGGCTTATATGCAGCAAGATGTCAGCTACCGGGGAACAAGAACACTGCAAGGGGAAAGAGGGGTTAGATCCCACAGCAGAAGAAACCCTGAGGGGAAGAACTACTTAGGAGAGGTAGGGGACTGTGGGAAAGTCCAGCATTTGTAGAGGCAATGACAATCTACTTCTCTCATCTACAGGGCAGCACTCTTCACTACAGATAGGCAGACATATTGAAGCTTATGATGGAGCCCTTGTGCTCTGACTGAGGCATATGCCTTTCCGAACTCCACTCAATCTTTTCTTCCTTACACTGGCCTAATTCACTATTAGTGCTTTTTATGGGGGAGAAAATATACTTGGGACAGAAATGGAAATGATGCTATCATTTGGGGTGATGCACCTGCCCATGAAGAAGTTTTATGGTTGCTGCAACTTTTATTTTATAGTTGCTATAATCTATGGAACACAATTATACTGTTAAAAGTTACACCTGTGATCTTTGGTGAATTATCTTTGCCTGTCCAGCTTAATTTGCTGTATTTGCAAACCATTGACTGGGATCCTGTTGTGCAGTTGGATACGTGCAGTGGGAATGACGTTTTCAGTAGCAGCAATTTGCTGCCGATTAAAGTCTTCTTTTGGTGAGTTTCAAGTGCACATGATTGATACTCAATGCAGTGAACTCCTGTGCACCCTGGAATTGCAATTTGCTGCTTCCAATGATATAATTCCTGTAGTGCCACTTTGCATACAGAGCTGTGCACCAGGACTTGAGCCTATGAAGATTTGTTGCAGCAAAATAAAAATTCTGAGCAGATGCACAGGGTAGTCGCGTTATCTTCACTTGTGCAGAAGTAGTTAGATGTTCATATTTTACAGGCACTCCTTGTTTACAATAGTAATGTCCCTGCCTATTTCTGAAGATGATTCTAAACTTATCTTGCCAGTGGGGAAAGGGGAATATGGTTTAATTAATTTATGAAAGTGGGGAAAGGTTTTGTACCTTTTTGTAAGCAATAAGACCATCTTTTTTGTGTTTATTGATTAACTATTGTTTAACTATTAATTATTGTTAATATTTTATTGCTGATGTTTTAACTTTTTCCCCAAGTGAGGATTCATTCCATGATGCAAATATTTGTTTAAAAGCATATTTTACAATATTAAAGCCAACTAGAAAAAGAATCTTATATAATTTAAGGCATACATGGTCTGTTTCGCTTGTTTCTATGTTCTGATTCTGTTCTGAAACCTTTATTGGCATTCACAAACTACAACAGCACAGGCAAAATGGGAGAAGTAGAATTACACAAATTAGGAGTGAGAAGCAGGGGACAATTTCAAAATTGCAGATAAGAAACCTGCAACAGCAGCGGTCAAGGAATTACATTTGTCACTCATAAAAATGGAAAGAATTGACTCAGTAGAGTTGGAATAACAAAAAATCCAAGGTTCGAAAAAAAATCGAAAGTAATAATGAGCAGGGCATTGAAACAGTATATGAAACAAGGTATCAGGAGTCTCTAAACAAAAAAAGCAAAGTCTTTTTTTCACGGGGGATATTAAGAAGATGACCGGCATGGGTGGCTGAAGGCTAACATAAAAGCTCTCCTTAGATGTGGGTTTACTAGGGAATGGAAATATTTGGGAAAATGATTCTGAGATGGAAAAAATCCAACAGAAAGGGTGGAACATACAGGATTAAGTTTATTGCATAGGTAATTGAATTCAGTGTGGCAGAGGTTGTCCTTAATTATGGAATAAGCCCTAGGGAGATTCCAGGGATCTGTTAAGAGAGAAAAGTTTCTTTTCAAGAAGCCGAAACCAAGAAAAGGAAGAAGAGTCACACAATAAATCATATAACAGGGATTCAGAATGTGAATTTAATAAAAGATGGAGCCAGAATTTAAATGTTAGTAACCAGGCAGTTGTGGAAGGTAGGTGAATACCCAATTCTAAAGAAATGGTAGAAAGCTGAATTAAATTGGGAACTCCTAATATTCAACGAAAAAACGTTGCTGCAACTTGATCAATATCTGAGTTTTCTGAGTGTATCCATATAGGTACACAGTATAGCAAGTGAGAAAGAATCTTAGACTGAAAAATCTGAATGGCTACTGGAATATATTGGTTTCCAGAAGAATAATGAAACTTAGAAATAGCTTTTAATTGGGGAGAAATGGAAGAGATAACAGCTTTTTTGTGTGATGTCCAACTGAGTTTGTGATGAATAAGAAGACCCAAATTTTTATGAGTGTACTTGATGATGGGAAGAAGATCCAATTGTCCAAGGGGTAGGGGACCAAGAACAGGGGGAAAAAAACAAAAATTGGGTTTTACTAGGTTTAATGGACAGGTCATTCAGATCACAAAAGTCCTGAAATTTAAGTAGACTACAACAGAGGCCTGATCTGGTGTGAGACAGCACAGTGTCATCGGCATACAGGAGTATAGATACGGGAACACCATTAAGGGCTGGAGCCGACTGATTGCAAGGGGGAAGATCAGCTAAAAATAAATAATAGAGGGGCCAGAATGCAACTTTGACGGACACCTTTAAAAATTGGAATTTTTCAGTAAATATTGGAATTAGATATGTGAACCAGGCAGGAATTAAGCGAGTGTAATTGGCGAAGCAAAAATAACAGGCATGAATCAATATCCCAATTGGAAAGTTTTTCCCATAGTAAATCTGTATTTACAGAATCAAATGCCCCTCGGAGGTCCACAAAGGCAACAAAAAGTTTGGTTTTGTTGTGGATTGCGTATTTTTCAACAAGAAAAGTCAGCAGGAAAATGTGATCCAGAGTGGATGCTCTGGCACAAAAGCCTATCTGTTCCTATCCAGGAAGATCCTTGTCAGCAGCCCATGTGGAGAGTTTTTTCAATAGATATTTAGAATATAGTTTTCCAATATTGGATAATAAACTTATTGGGCAATAATTTGAAGGTTGAGAAGGATCATCTTTTTTATGAATAGGTATAAGAATGGATGATAGCCAGGAGTTTGGAAAACAGCCAGAGTGATTTATCAAAGTAAAAAGAGTAGCTAGAGGCTCTGCCCACCAGTGAGGGTTTATGGTTAGGATCTCATTGAAAATGAGATCAGGGCCAGGAGCTTTACCTGGCTTAAGTGAGATAATTAATTCAAGGATCTCTTCAGGGGTGACTGGGGACCACTCAGGAAGGTCTTGTGATATGTTTACTGAAGACGAAGTCGAGATAGGGAAAATTTTAGTAAAATAATCCAGGTAACAGAGGAAATAGAATTGGATGGTTTAGAAGATGAAGAATTAGCCTGAGAAACCAAAGACCAGAAAGATTGCTTGATGACGTTGGGACCATTTTTGCTGGGCAAACCAATGTCTTTTCTCGTCAAACAAGGCATGGCCTAGCCTACACAAATTAAAATACAATTTTAAAAGTGGTTGAGTGGGTTGTTGTTGAATTAATTGGAATAAAGTCCTGATTTGTTTTTTTAGGGACCAACAATCTGAGTCGAACCAAGAGTCAGAGCTATGGTTGTCCCTGGCTATTTGGGAGGGACAGGAGACACTGAGAAATTGAACTAATGAGTCAATTATAGAGTTATATGCAGAGATAGTTATAAGGAGAGAAGAAGCTGACTTTAAATTATCAGTAAGAGACTTAGTCTCTGGTTGATGAATCCAAGAATAAAAAATTTAAGCTGATATTTAAGAGGGTTTGAAGGGATAGAGAGATCTATGAGGGGAAGGTAAGGGATGAGCCTGGGGGAAAGGGAGGAAAAGAGATGGGAGAATAAGAAGTGGTGCACAGATCAATAAGAAATGGGGTATAACTATTAAAGGAATGGTCCTTAGAAGTCCTTGAAGTAAGAAAACAAGGAGGAATCAGATCTTCTAAATTCCAGTTCATTTGGAGTGCTAAGGCAGAATTGGTTGAGCCTATTCTAGAATTTAAATCTAAGATTAGTAAGGAAGACAGGAGTATAGTATTGGAATATTTCAACACCAAATTCACAAGGTCCTCCCATAAAGCCTGAGGCGAAGGAGCTGCAGGTGGAATATAAGCACTGAACAGCAAGATTTTGAGGTCATTTGCTTGGAGCAAAAAAGCTTGGGTATGAAGGGAATGAGAAGAAAGAGAAGAGACAGAAATAGGGACAGAAGCTTTAGCAAAACAGCAAAGTCCAACACATGGTCAACCTGCTTGGTTGAGCTTGGAAGTTGGTAAATGATAAGTATAACCAGGGAGACTCGGAGAGGTTAGGGACCAGGTTTCTTGAATGAGTATTATATCAAAGGCTTTCAGATACTATATAAGGTCTTTATCAAAAGCTTTCTTTGACCAACCTGAGATGTTCCAAGAGATCGTTTTTAAGGGCAGGGCAGAATTTGAAAAAGATGGACAGGGTTTAGTTAGCAAGGAGGGTTAGATGTAATAGAACTGCTAGGTAGAGAAGGATAAGCATTAATGTCAGAAGACAAAATAATAGGAGGGGAATTAGAGGCCGGGAGAGTTGCAGAGGACTTACAAGAAGAGGGTTTAGAAAGAGAAGAGGAGTGGAGCAAAGGCAGCAAGAACAGGGGACTCCTAGGGCTCTGGGAACCCCTGCATTTACTCCAAGTCAGCAGACCCCCCCCCCAGGTGAAGGGGGCAAGTTTTCAACAGAAGAGTGGACTTGCAGCAAGTAGCGCTTGGAAACCTCCGAATTTCAGACAGCAATCTGTTTTCATGAGAGTTTTGTCTCCTATCAAGCAACTGGCTCAAGAGAATGCTGTTATGGTGAGTAAGCTGCTTAGAAGAGGGGTATGAAGATTTACGCCTGACTGCATGAACAGGGACTAATTGACTTTTATTTGGCTTCAGCAAGTATAAATCAAACTTAAGAGGCTGATTTTTAAGGAGAAATACCGTATTTTTCGCTCCATAAGACGCTGCTCTGCATAAGACGCACCTAATTTTTAGGGGAGCAAAACAGGAAAAAATATTCTGGCAACTTCGGCCTGCTAGGCCCATAGGGTGGTGGTGGAAGATGGCTGGGAAGGGAAGGGCAAGTGGTGATTTCGGCCTGCTAAGCCTGGCAGGGGGGCTGGAAGATGGCTGAGAAGGGAAGGGAAGGTGGTGATTTCGGCCTGCTAGGCCCGTGGGGGTGGTGGAAGATAGCTGGGAAGGGAAGGGAAGGTGGCGATTTCGGCCTGGTAAGCCCGTGGGGGGTGGAAAACGGGAAAACTGCCCCCTTCCCTTCCCTTTCCAGCCATCTTCCACCACCACCCCCGTGGGCCTAGCAGGCTGAAATCACCACCCCACCCCCCATAGACCTCTGGGAGCCTACATGGCCTTCCTCTGCAGCTTTTTCCTAACTGTTGGGGTGAAAGAGCTACCAAGAACCAGCCTCTTACGCCACCTACAGTTAGAATTTAAATTGCACCCTTTTTTACCGTATTCACTCCATAAGGCACACACACTCCCCCCCCCCACTTTCTTTGCAGGAAAAAGTGTGTCTTATAGTCCAAAATAATTGTATTTTTTAAAATGGAAGATGCTATATTTCTTTTCTTTTTTTAAGGGCTTCTGGACTGTGTTAATTTTGCTCTATTGTGCGAGCTTATTTAATAGTGTTGAAATCAGTGTAATTTGTTGTAGAGGATTTAGACGCATCTTTCTAAAAGCCTGTACTGTAAGCTGCCTTTGGTTGTACAAGCAAGAAGAGCAAATTAAAAACTAAATAAATAAATAATAAATTTGAACTGGAACAAATAGATATAAAGAGACCAAACAGATGGACCAGCTGCGTTGGGTTTTAAGCAAGGACACTGCAGGGATTTGAACCCCGTTCTGGGAGCCAGGAGTGCCAACCCCCAGTGCCTTTTGCTTTTTTTTTTTTCTTTTTTCTTTTGGACAACGCAAGCAGGTGAAAAGCAAAACCTGAGAGAACACGAGTGTTCTCTCAGGAAAAGAAAACCCTTGCAGAAAAGTAGTGAAGTCTGCGCCATAATGCATAAACTGCTTCCTGAATTTAAGAAATTGCTTTTTTACCTTATGCTGGTTAAAAAAAACATTAGTATCTTCTGCATGACAATTAAGAACATTTTCTTTTCTCTGGGAATTCAGACCTTTGTAGTTACAATCTGTCAGCTGCTCTGCCAAAGAATTAAGGCTCTGCCGTGGTGAAC